CACCTGAATCTTCTTTAGAGAGGAGGCTGCTTATATTTTCTGTCGATTTTGTAATTGGATTATTTGAGTTCTGTGTAGATTCTGAGTATTACTCCTTGTTGGATATCAGATGTTCAAGTATTTTCTCTGTTATAGAGGGTGCCTTTCTACTTTACTGTCTTTTTACATTATGGATTTGATTTGTTAACATATGAAGATCTCTTGTATGTCTTTTTCATAAGGAATATTAGATAGTAATTTTTTTTAAACTTTTGTCACATTTTGGTATCAGTATTATGCCAACCTCAGAAAACTCGTTAGAAAGTTACTGTTCTGTCAGTTTCTGAAACTGTGTTTAGAATTTTCCTTAGAATTTTAGTAGTTTAACAGTGAATGCCTCTGGTCATAATAGTTTTTATATAAAGTGGTTTCGGTTTATGTCTCAGTTTCTTTAATAGATATGGGGCTATTTAGGTAGCCCTTTTCTTCTTGTATCACTTAGAGTAATTTATGTTTTTCAAGGACTATTCCACTTTATTTAAGTTGTCAAATTTGTTAGCATGAAGTTATTAGGTCAAAATATATTCTTATTATAATCTTACTGCAGGCTGTATAATTATGTCCATGTAAACATTTCTGAATTCTTGGTGCTGAATTTTCTCGCTGAACTATGCCTGAAGTAGTATTTCAGCTCTTTGCTCCAATACCTAGCACCGGAAGGAATGTGAGGACAGCAAGAAGCCCCTCCACATCTAAAGATTGTGCTGCTAGAGGGTCCTGGTGCTGGACTGTCAGAGCATATGTTTGGAGGCTCTGGGAGTGGGCCTGTGTGAGGGCCGCTGCCAAACACACCCACAGGTTTGTAACGGGAGGACACTATGTACCTTCAGGGGCCTGACGGCCCTTGAACGGCAGTACAAGGGGAGCTGCCGCTCTGCTCGTTCCAGGAGAAGAACGCTCACGCGCCTTCCTTACAGACAGGGCCATCGTCAGCTTTGGCCAGGGTTTGGGAAAACATTGTATGTACGTATACACACACGCTCAAGACACAAGAGATTCCTAAGAAGGTGATAAGTAAACAGACTAAAGACAAAGGCAACTTGAACTCAATTACCGTTTCTACTCTTGGTGAACTGGAAGAGGAATTTGAGGCTAGATAGGGAAGCCGCCAATTCCCAAGCACAGATGCCGACATGATGGAAACCAGCCGGAGCGCAAAGGCATGAGCCAGCAGTGTCTGGGGAGCGCTGGCCAACGGAAAGCAAGAAGGTAAAGTGGAGGGGACTGTGATTGACAGGCAGCACCGTGGTCAGGACCTTCCTGAGCCAGACTGCAGGTGATCTTTAGGTCAGGAAGAAAAGGAACTCCAGGGCGACAGGGACTGGTTTTCATCTTTACCCCTCAGCAGCCCTTACGTTGCCTCCCACTGATTTTCAGACGTTGTATCCCTCTGACCTGTTTGCTAGAGATGGATTTTTCCAAGTCTTCCTGTAGATAGACCTTCAATACCAAAAAAAGGGCTTTTTTGGTCCATTTGATTTGAACATCTTCAGCTATGTAGAGACTGCCAGTGCTTGAGTGTCTGGCCCTTAAGGCAGAAGGCTCTTATTCCATCGTCAACATTAATGAAAGATTTTAAAAAACAGATATTGGCAATTTGTGTTTCATCTTTTTTTCTTATTAGGTGTTTTATCAGTTAATTCTTTCAAGGAAAGAATTTTTATTGGTTTTCTGTCTTATTTTTTCATTTACGTGTCTGCTTGTTCTTATCCTTATTTTCTGCTTATTTTGGATTTATTTTCTTTGTTTGGATTTATTTTCTTAAGGTGGGGCCATAACTCATCGGTTTTATAGTTTTTTTCCCTCATGAAAACATTTAGAGCCCTAAATTTCCTTTTAGACTCTGCTTAGCTCACTCCCACATATCTTGATATGTAGCCTTTTAATTATTGTCTATTACAAAATATTTTCGAATGTCTCCTCTTCTTTCTTCTCTGACCCATCATTCATTTGGCACTTCTTTGGGAATTACTGAGATTCGCTTTATGACCTGGTATGCTGTGTGTCATGGCGAATGGAAACGTGCCATGTGCACTTGAAAGAATGAGCATCATCTTCTGTGACTGTCTCGTAGGTTGTGCTGGTTCATGCTCTTGCTCACATCTTCTGTGTCCTTACTGAGCTTTTTTTAGTCCGCTTGTTCTTTCAGCCAACAAAATGGTTGTAGATTTGTTATGTTTCCATTAGTTATATAAAATTTTACTTCATGTAATTTGAAGCTTTTTTGGAAAGGAAAATGCTCATTTAGGATTATCATGCTTTTTAATTAATGACCCCTTTCATCATCATGGAATATGCCTCTTGATTTCTAGGAACAATTTTTTCTTGATGTTATTTTGTCCACTATTAATACAAGTCATGTTTGTTTCTCATACTTGGTAGTGATTCCCCCCACACACACACACTACAGCCTCTTGTTGCCAGTTTCATAACTGCTGTGCTTCTTTATAAATTCTGACTTCCCTGCTCTTTATGTTTCATCGAATTAGCGATCTAAGTGGTATTTGTTCCATCTTGGTGTTCGTTTCCTGTTTGTCCTGTCTTCCTCTACCCCTCTTCTCTCTCCCTTTCCTGCTGCTGGTGTATTGTGTGCCATCTACTACCATCCACCTCATCTTCTCTGTTGACTTTTTGCTTATATCTCTGAGTTACTTTTCAGTCTTT